CGATCTGAATAACAAGTTTTTCTGATTTCGAACCTTCGAGAACTTGCTGTTTGTCACAGTTTTTTGTACTAAGAAGAATGCGATCACACACCGAGCGGGTGACCGCGGCGCTGTTTGTCCTCGCTCGTGTTTTATTTTCTGAGGCAATCGTTTTAATATAACGGCGAAATTTAGAAACGAAATTTTAATGATTCAATTTTAAACACCTCCCATTTAAAAAAATCAAGTAGACATCGAAATGACCTTCAAAATCGCATTCCGAGAATAATCCAAGGTCACGGTGTTATGTCCCCCTTGGAACCCTACAACTTTTGTCTGAAACATTTTTTAATATTTCGCTTCGTTTCCGAGAAATATGCCCGCGTCACTATAAATGCCTCACCCTATATATATATATATATATATATATATATATATATATCATACAAAACAAGTGTTAAAAACAGACATATAATTTCAAAATAACGGAAATAATCATGGCAGAATGCATTTGGTCGGTATTCAGACGAGAAACTACAGAAATTGTTCTAGTTTTATTTTCGTTTCTTATAGTTGAACAGTCTTTTTCTTATTCAATAAACATTTCCAATTTCGAGTGGAATAGACATTCGTCGATAGTCCATATACTCGACGATAGAGTCTATATTGATTTGATCGTGTTAGGAACTGTCTGAGATATTCTGTCGTCCTCTCAGAATGATATTACTTCCCTTAAGTACAACTGTTGACTAAACTCAAGAGATTTAAGAAATAAGCCTTTACATTTTTTATACTAACAGGATTTTATAATATAAAGCAAGAATGTAAAAAATATATAAAATATGTTACATAATAAAACAAATATCATTTTTTGTAACATTATTTAATATTCTCGATTTACAATGTTTTGCAAAAGTTCTATTATTAATTTTGATTAATTTATTAAATGTATGTATAAATTGCCCTTTTTATAGGTAATGAGAGTTATTTCCTATTACATAATTTTTTATAATTATGTGTGAATCTATCTTTAAAAAATTATATTAAAGATAGACTTTCTTGAATACATTCATAAGAATTCTATCATATTTTTTAGTCATATTTCTTGGTATAATATAATAATGTTAAACATACTTAGCTTTTTCCTCACAAATTGAGATTAATCGAAGCATTATTAAAAAACTGTCGCAATCCGAAGCTAAGTAAGTCATGGTCGGATTCGACTTTCGGTTTAATTTCCGCAAAGTGCTCGCTATAAGGTCGCGTTAAATGCTGAGACAACGATTCAATTCTTCGATGGAAGATGGCATTTAATTTCAGTATTTACAAGGGAGATTCAATGCCGAGAAAGGGAGGATGTTATCGAAGTTTTCTCCCCCGGAGCCTTCGCGTGCGGCCAACGTCGTCGGCAGAGGAACAAACCTCCCGCTCGGTGTCAAGGTGAGCGTGCAATCAATATATGCCGAGCGGTTGTTAATTTTAATCCACGGATCGCGTGTGCGGCCTGATACAGACGAAACGATTACGAGCACTTTTACAATTCACCCTTCCTCCCACGCAAGTTCCTCGACATGTACTGCCTTCGAACAATAGCTTTCCAATGCATACCGACAGTAGACGGTAATTTATTTTTAATGATAAATCTTTTGATATTTTGAGGAAATTTTTTTGCGGTTAGAACGTTGAGTCAAAATAAC